ATAGGCACCTAGAGTTATTTAACTAAATATCACACAACCTATTATAAAAGGATAGCAAGCATATTAGACATGGCACACAAGTGAACTTAAGTTCAGATATTTACACACATGCATTGATCAATAACTAACCAACATGTTTAACCAAAACAAGAGCAAGCTAAAGCAATTACCTAGCACACGCATAGAATCTGGACAGCAGCACAACAGTAAGTTGTTTTATCCCTAACTGGAGACATAAGAATCCAACAAGGGTGACCCTAGACTTTATGGAAATCTAAAGAAATTGCCTACAACATTGTTACTATCACCAAAAGCTTATTCCAAAGCTAACTAGGTCCAACATGCCAATATTTTAGATCTGCACAGAATAAGGACAAAAAAGTAGTAGTAATTTTAAAAAGGCATAACTAGAGTTACAGACTTCAAACAAGCACGAACCTTAACTTTCTAGAAAGCTTATTAAATTATATAAAACATGTTTATAATCATCACGAGGTGCTTCCAAAATTAACAAGGTCAATCAGGCACAATTGAGCACCTCTATCTTGACTTGGGCAGATTGTACCATGCAAATTCTCAAGCTTATAACTAGAGATTTAGACCACCAAAAGGAGCGATCTTTAAAAATTTGGAAATCTCATGAAAAGCACTACGCTTCTTTTATTATCTCCAAGACATGATTCAAAGCTTAGCTAAGTCAAACAACACAATCATTTCAATATGTACAGAGAGCATGCAAAATCTGACAATGAAATTGTAAACACTTCTTCTATTATCTCCAAGACATGATTCAAAGCTTAGCTAAGTCAAACAACACAATCATTTAAATATGTACAGAGAGCATGCAAAATCTGACAATGAAATTGTAAAATCTATAGCTCCTAAATTATCAGGCCTATGGTCATGAAAATTAATCACAAGCTATATTATGAAATTATATACAACTTTGGTATTCACTACAACCACAGAAAACATCATTTATACCATAAAAATAATTGCACAAACAAAACTGCATATGCAGTCCAAACAGCAGTGGTACAGAAAACTAATAGGAACTTCATAGAAGCATAACTGGAGTTCTAGACCTCCAACAAACATGAATCATAACTTTTTGAAAATCTTATGAAGTTACCTACAACTTTCTTATTCTCATCTTAAGATTATTCTATAGTTAACAGGGTCAATTATCCAATGAATGCATCTCTATCCAAAACATGAAAAGAATCTGACATGCTAATTTAAACAGCTATAATTAAAGTTCTACATGTCCAATAAATGTGGTTCTAGACTTTTTAGAAATATTAGAAAATTCTAAACAACTTTGTTATAAACACCTAAAGCTAACTCTACTATTAAAAAGGCCCCATAGTACCAACAAGACAACCCTATCTAGGTTTGGGCAAAAACAACCACAGAAATTTAAGCAACAATAACTAAAACTCCACTTAACCAAAAATTATGCTATTTAGCTTTTTTTAAATCTTAAGAAAAGTACTACAACTTATGTATTGTAATCAATTCATGATTCATAACTTAACTTAGCCAATTAATTCAAATATGCAGGCCTATTGAGAAGAGGAGCAAAACAACACAGGGCATTTGTTATTTTTATAACTCTTAAACCATCAAACCTAAACACCTGAAATTTTTACCAGACATCAACCATCACCTTAGTAGCACTTCATAAAAATTTCACATTTATTTGAGCACAAGAACTGTAGTTATGAAAAAGACAAGACACAACTAGTATTAAAAACCTAACTGCATAAATTGATTTTTATAGCAAAAACTTTAAACTAAAGCATGCCATATTATAGATCTACTGCATAGATAATTCCATAAGGATTCCAAAAAGTCCTCATTTACTATTTTATGATTTTTCTACTAATTACTATGAATTTGCAAATTTGATCATCCAAATCTGCAAAAATCAAAGAAAAGGAATGTAAATCTTGCATCTGGGATCCTGCAGTTTCTACAAATTAAACTCGAACAAACATATCCATTCCGGCACTATTCAACTAAGTCATGGCTTTGCAAGGAGAGCAGCGGCGGCGATGGAGCTCCAGCAGCGGCGTTCATGGCGGCGGTATGGTGCCGGCTTGGAGAGAGCAGGAGAGGGAAGGGGAAGGGAGAGGGAGAGAGTGGAGAGGGCAGGGGAGCTCGGGTCTCTGTACTTATGCACATGGGGCGAGGTGGCAAGCGAGGGCAGCGCAGAGAAGCCATGCGGCGTCGCTCTCCTGCCTGTGGTCGGTTCTGTTTGGACAGCTTCAAAACTCAATTCTACCTTAAAATGCGACTGAACATCAATCTTTGTCCTTTCGTAACTCCTAATCTGTTTAGTTCTGGCACAAAATGTAGTAACAAAAGTTGTAGAGCTACGCGAGATCTCCAACTTTCTTTAAATGATCAAAGTCTAATTAAGCCTAGTTGGAGAGATACAAGGTTCCAAAGTGGGGTTCACGAAACTTGAAAACGGAATATTTCAGTTCCAACACAGCAGTTTTTTGGAGCTTCAAAACAGCACGGAGTTGATTCTTGAAATCCCTAATCGAGACACTTAGAAGTCGAATCAATCCTTGATCCAAAAATAAAGTTTGTTCTGCATAACATGGACTATAACTTTTATTTAGGGTCCGCTACCATGCAAATAATCTAAGCCATAGTTCAAACCAGGTCAAAGTAGCATCACGATAAAGCTTAAATTAGAGTTTTAGACCGATTGAGGCATTTTCTTAGACTTCTGCTCAACACGAACCCTCCATGACTTTTGTTCATGAGTGTAAGTAGAGTTGTTTGAGCAAGGTTGCAATGTTTGTTTGTCATCACATGTTCTCATTCACCTAATAAAGCAATTCAGGCAAGGACATAACTTGTCATTTCATATGACTTCTTGATTCCAAACTTCACGAAACTTTTCCAATCGTCCATGTGGGTGGAAATTGATGTGAGGCACATGAAAGAAGCACCTTCAACATCACTTAGGTGTATATCTGAAAAGGGCCAATATGCAAGCAAAGGTGTGTTGCCCAAGTTTAAGTTGGAGCTCACTCTTGTACATTTGATCTTGACACCTTCATCACCACTTAACATGTCATGTTTGAGATCAAACCCATTGATTAACTGATGACAAACACCTGGGGTGTTACATTCCTAGCCACGATCCCGCCTCACTGTGGCATCAGAAGATGGCGCAGGTGTCCTGGCCGCTCTGCTGAGCCACGATCTGGTCCTGCTGCACCTGGGTCGACCCGAAGCTGTGGATACAACTCTCGAGAGTGGCCGTGGTTGTGCCCGACTGTGCTGAGGAGTGGCGCATCGATGGGAGCAAGCCATCCGCCGAGACATCGGGCCAACGGCGTGCTAGCCTCACCGCTATGCCCCCGCTCCCCTTCCTTACACCTCTCTTCAACACGACGCTGGTGCCCGGGTCTGGGGCGCCCATGGCTAGCCCCGGTCGTGGATCTGTGTCCCTGGTCATGGATTCACGGAGCTATCCTGGTCCAAGATCTACTCAGCAGGGCTTGTGGTGGCCACGCTTCATGGTGTGGCAGCAGTGGCTCGGTCGCGATGCGGCGAGCACACGGTGGGCAGCAAGTCTACGGCAGTGGCGGTGGCGGCCATGCGTGGCAGTGCGCCTAGGGCACACAACAATTCGTGGGTGGCGTGGGCTACATGATGGCGGCGCGTCTAGGGCATGCAGGCTGCTCGTGGATGGCTTGGTCATGAAGAGGCCGCTGCGGCATACGGATGTGGTGATTGTTTGCTCCCAGCGAGCGATCAATCCGTTGGTACCCTAGGGGCAACGGCGTCCTGAGCGCTGGTGCAAGGATCTCAGTCAGGTGGAGGTGGATCTTGCCGGCAGCGGTGGCCCTAGGGGTGGCGGCAATGACAGAGGACTCCAGCATAGGTGATGGGCATGCCATTAACGGTGGCTGCACTATGGGCGACGGAGGCCTGTCGGCTCACGTCTGATCGGCTAGTACGTTCTAACCGGGCGACGATGGATGAAGGTGGGCTAATCGACATGTAGTGTTAGCTCACTTGAAGCGGATGAAGATGGTAGTGGTGGAGGTTCGTAGCGATGGCATACTAGGGGCGGCGGCGACTTGATGACTTCCACTCACCGAATCTGACCGTTTCGGGAGAAGATGTCCGGAAGCAGGGATGTGCTGAGGTCATAGTTTTTTCTTTTTTAGTTGTGTGTTCTCTTTTTGAGGTGTGAGTCAAAGGGGTCTTGTATCCTTTTGGTTGTGTATATCGTTCGTAGATATAAAGGCCGGATTATTGAAATCCATTATCTAAAAAAATACTCCTAAGTGAAGTGTTGCATTGATATATTTTGTGTGGTTGCGGAATCATCCAATAGAACATAAGAAATATCAACATGCTCGTGATGGGAGGGAGGCGCAAGAAGGGGTTTGGGTTTTATACTGTATTTAGGACACTGCATAGTCAATCCACAAATCAGTAGTGATATCGTGCTGGTGCTGCCAGGTCAAACCACCATGTGCCGAGTTGCGGCATGAATCGACAATAATATTTCCCCTATCACTGTCAGTTCGTGGCTTCACTCGACACTGATATATCACTGCAGATCGTGGCTCATTCCGATAGTGAGATTTGACTTCACTGTTGGGCCAACAGGATCCTAACCATTGTTCAGATCCTAGGCTTACAGCTCGGCAGCGAAGCCGAATCACTACCAACTCGAGTACGCCCGACAGTATTGAGCCAGTATGGATTAATTGTGTATTTTGCATTAGTGAATGTTTGGAGTATAAATTAGTGTTACAATGATGTTTAAGCATAATTCCTAGGTACAATGTTTGGGTGTTGACCTCCCTCAAATACCTTAATTTTGCAACACCTTTGATATAGGTACTAAACATCGAGGCCAATACCTGAGTGTGGTATGGCAACCTCCTGCCGGTCCGATTGAAAAAAGAAAATGGATAGGGAAATTTTCTACATGCTCAGCCGCAGCTTGGGATTACTTATTACAAAGAAATCCCAGGGTAGAGATGCGCTGGAAGCCGTGGCTCGGCCTGCAGCACCAGCGGCCGTGCCATGAAGGTGTTGTGCCTGGACTCGCTGAGGTCGATGGCCGCCACCCCGGCCATCTTGCTCCAAGAGAACCCCTGCAGGAGCCTACCGAAGAGCATGATGCTCATAGCAGTGCCGAGCACTGCAGCGATGCAGCCGCGACGACCAGTGCTGAAGGAGATGAACCGTAGATCATGCTCAACGAGCGAGACCTCCACCTCGGGACTGACAGTGATGTGGCGTTCGGGGTTGAAGCGAAGAGGGTCGTCCCAGACATCAGGGTTGCGTCCAAGGCCAGTGCGGCTGAGGATGACGTGGCTGCCCTTGGGGATGTGGTAGCCGGCAACGGTGGTGTCTGCGAGAGCGACATGGGGGACGTTGAAAGGCGCCACAGGGTGCAGGCGGAACGCCTCGCGGATGCAGGCCTTGACGTAGTTTAGCCGCGGGATGTCGGACTCCTGCACCAGCCGTTCCCGGCCAACGACGCTGTCGATCTCGTCCACTGCCTTCTTCAGCATCTCCGGGCTGTTCACCATCTCGGCCAGAGCCCACTCCACTGCATTTGACGGGTTGTCCATTGACGCGAACGTGATGTCCATTAGCTGAGCTTTGACCTCCTCGATGCTGAGCACCGGCCTGCCGTCGGCATCCTTGAGCATAATGAGCACGTCTAGGAAGTCCTCGGTCTCCCGCCTCTCGCCGCTCTTCCACAGTCTCCACCGCTCATGGATGACCGCGTCGTGCAGCCTGGTTACCCTCTCATTGGCCTCCTTGACCATCTTCTCGTGGCCGTCTAGGTCGAGGCCCAGCAGCCACGGGAGATAGTCAGAGACACAGAAGGAGTACAGGAGGCCCAGGGACGCAAAGACGGCGTCCACATGCTGCACCTCCAGCGGGCCAGGGCCACCGTCAGGCTGCGGCTTGCCAAAGTAGCGCGTGTTGAAGATGAGGCGGCGGACGACGTTTCCGCAGTAGTGTTGTGCGATATGCCTAACGTCAACGACGCCGGACCCCGCTTTCGCGAGGTTGTGGACGTAGCGGGTGAGGTTGTCTGCCTCGTCGGCACGCTTGTCGTGGAGCCACCTGTGACGGGACGGGCAGACGATCTCGGAGGCGAGCACGCGGCGCATCTTCCTCCACTGGTCCCCGTAGGGGGACATCACGGCGTCCCTGTAGCCTATGCTGAAGGTCTTCGAGGCCATGGTGAGCGGGCGAGAGGCGAAGTTGGCGTCCTGGTTCTTGAGCACCTCGACCGCGATCTTGGGGCAGGTGATGGGGATGACGTGGACACCGCCCAGTTTGATGCAGGCGATGTCGGTTCCCGTCTCCTTCATGATCTGATGGACCCACTGGAACGCCGGCTTGTCGCTGACCATCATCTCCGGCAGGTTGCCAACGAGTGGCCATGGCACGGGCCCCGGCGGGAGCGGAGGGGTGCACCTGCCCTTCCTCCACCACGGCCTGTGGGTTTTGACGAGGCACAGGAGCATCACTACTAGGACTAATAACACATGTGGGACCATGGAGGAGGAGGAGGAGGAGGAGGGCAGGAGGGCAGCTGCCGCCGCCTCTAGTTGCATGTTTACTTTGCTTGCAGAGAGGAAACCATGCAGCAGTACTGATCGACGACGAACTCTTTATTAGCTTGCCAAGGCCACTAATAGAACCCCCATGTGCTATGTAGAAACAAGACCCGAAGCTGTGGCTACTTATGGTGGTCGAACGCTTCATCAGCTGAGAGAAAACTAGGTCGGTTCTTAAGCAGGCAAATCGGAGGAGATGATCCACATGTTATAATAACATGTGAACCACGTGTACAGATATACTTGTGCACAACATGTGGACTGAACTGAGCACTGGCCATCTGTACGTACTAGTGCTCGCATTTATCGAAAATTTATTTCTGGCTAATATCATGGATTTCAGACAAAATAAACCATAACGCACAGGCTACAAACAAGCCTACAACCACTGCTAAGAATATATTTCTCGTTCTTTTCTGATATAAGTAGAAGCTAGTCATTTATTAATGAATATACTGTAAATTTGACATCCCAAGTGTTGTTGTCATCGGTTGTAGCCTTCGACGGAAGACTGGAACGTGTGTGGCAGCTGGGTCGACGTTGCCACTTGCCAGTTCCACAAGAGTTTCACTACGTATAACATTCGTAGAGGCAGCTGGTTTCCACCTCTACATTTTTAGATACGGGTACCCATCCGTATGTAGAAACAAATTTCGATTCTAAAGGTGGGCCTCTAAAAATCGTCGTTTGGATTCTTTCATTTTAGAGGAATTAGAATTTACTTAATGGATTATGCTATTTGATTTAAAATTTGAGATTCCACAACTTTCTAAAGTTCATATATAAGTCTATCTCAAATTCATAGAGTAGAGCATAGAAATTGATTCTATAGATTATCATGCTATTTTTCTACTCTTCAACTTATAACACGCTCTTCAACTCGCTTCCCTATGGTAGAATGCAACATCTGAACATCTCCCTTACATGGCTAATAAAAGTATACAAATATCTTTCATATACAACCATATTAGCTTAATTAATATATGCCTAAATTATAATTTATTGAAATGAATTCAATTCCAAGGATCTAAACATGACTATACAGAATTTGTAAATCAAGCCCATAGAAAATAAAAACATAGAAAACGGGAGAAGGCCACCAGCTAACCTCACAGATTTTGCACAAAATACGCACTATATTCCTTTTGTATTCACATCATCGAGTATTATGGTGAATATTTTAGACTCTAAACGAATTTAAATGAAAACTTAAAAATTCAAAAATAAGTGGTTTGGATCATTTGATTTTTTTTTAAATAAATTTCAAAAATTAGAAACTCAAAATAGAATTTCTGGACCCTAATTGAGTTCAAATGAAAAAAGTAATCAACTACCAAGTTGCAGAACTCTTCGTGTGCTACATCTTTGGTTTGGGTCGTTTCTCCATTCAATGTATTTTGAAAAATTTACAAAAAAAATAAATTATGAAAACTAAAAACAAAATTTTTGGACCGTAAATGATTTTAAATGATAAAGTCATCAACTACATAGTTGTAATTCGTTTCTAGTACTACAACTCTGATATACAGTATGTCTTGATCTAACTTAATTTAGAAAAATATGATTTTTACTATGCTGCACATACTTTTAGAGGTGGGCCAAATAAACCACTTGTCTCTAGAAATCTATTTCTAGACTTGGCTGGAAAGTATAGCCTAAAAATGGTATTTTTAAAGGTGGTTTCGCTTTCTAGCTGTCTCTAAAAATGTAGCATATTTCTAGAGGGGGTTAGGATTTTCAGCCACCTAAAAATCGATTTCTAGAGACGGCCTAGTTCATAAACTATTTTAAGAGGCAGTTCTTGATAGATACCCCTGTGCAAAAAAAGAGAAATTTCTAAATAATCATTCCTCTAGTAGTGTATGTCCATTAGGGATGGATTCAGGTCCAATGCTCATAGAATTGAATTCGGATTACACTTTTTGCCACATTTTAGTTCAAATTTAAATACAATTACGGATATTATCGGATGCACATATAAACAGACATGTCTAGTTCAGATTCTCCACTAGTAGTTCTCTTCCCCTCCTCTCATCATTTCTCTCATTGCCATATCCAGTCCTCTTCTACTACTACACAAGTGAATTTTAGACACGGTCAAATTCATTTTTTCTAATAAGATGGATTTAGAAACCGACACTATGCCATCGATTGTAAAAGTAGTTCATTTGTAGAGGCAGTGACCATTCATGAAAACACATTTCTAGGGACAGTCATGCTATGTAGACTGCTTCTAAAGATATATCACTTGGGGTGGTTGCGCTAAGAAAACACCTCCTGAAAATGCATCTCTAGGTTCGGTTGGCTTAAGCAACATGCTCTCAAAATGGTTTTCGAGCAAAAAAAAAGAAAAGAAAAAGAAGCATGCGGGCACATGCCATCCCTCCATTGCCACAACCAGCTAGCTCGCCGGTTTCATGCCACCATGCCAGCCTGGTGTTGCCACAGTATCGTACTATGGCTAGCCAGCCTAGCTCGCCATTGTTGCACCATCCTATCGTGCCATGTTGACCCGCATGCTATTATCATGCTCGTCCACCTAGTAGACTCCTCACCGTGGTGCCATTCTGGTCCATCGTTGCTACACTGGACCAACCTAGCCTATTGTTGTCACGCCAATCTACTGTCAACGTGCAACCGTGGTAGCCACTGATGTTGTGGGAGCTGGAAGTCCTAAGTTTGGGTTTGGTAATTGAATGACAACTATTGGACTAATACTTTCAACGAGTAGTGATTGAGCTAGGGTCCACATCAAGATGATGAGCAAGGTGTGGAGATGGATGAGAGGATGATCATGCCATATGGAGCAAGCTAACTGTTGACGGTTCGTATGTGTGTATATAGGAAAGGGGATTCCGCAAGCGCACAGAACTATCGTGTAGAACTTCGCTTGGTGAGAACCAAGTGTCGAATTTATATTTTCCCAAAGGAAGGCGGTTAGGCATGTCAGGGAATGTGGCTAGGTAGACTAGGTAGGTAGGTTTAGCAACACGGGGTTGATGGATGAGGAATGTAAAAGAAAAGATAGAAAGATTGATCACACAAACGGTGGTAGCTAGAAGTGTAGTGTAGCTAAGTGTAAGAAGTAGAGTATGTAATCTTAAGCAACAAAAGTAAATGAATGATAGTGAGAACGTCCTTAGTACGAGGGGCGTACTTGCCCTGAATTCAATCAGGCACAAAGCACTACGAGCCCTATGTTTTAATAACTAGACCCAACGTGGTGGAATACAGAGGAAGGACAGGGCTGTCACCACATGCCAACTACCACAATCTATCCAGAGATCTAGCTATACCTACAGGCAAGATATAGCCTAAGCACCACGCTTAATCTATAAACTTGTTGTTTAGATCCGAGCTCCGGTGAAATAAGATCGAAACACCCTAACCAGACGGTAGAACAAGTATTAACGATGAACGAACTAAACACTAAGATAACTATGATGCTAATGCCGAAGAACAAGCACCTAGGCTCACTAATGATAAACAAGAGCAAGACAGGACTTGAACTAAGCAAAGCTATATTACTGAATAAAGTACTTGACAAAGTAAAGTACTAAATAAAGTAAATGCTAAAAGAAAGATTATAAAGGAGCTATACCAGACCATAAGACTCTTTTGGACTCTGAGGTGACCTCCATTCTACTCTATCACTACTAGCTAGCTACTACTTCTAAGCTACTACTCTTGGAGAGCTTGGAATGCCTTGAATGCTTGAGTGATGATCTCCACCGAGCTCCAGTGCCCCTTTTATAGTTTATAGAGGGCAATGGGGTACTTGTAGGAGTGAGTGAGGCGATGGAGAGGTAGGGGGTGTTGGCCGACTTTGGGCACGGTCGGCCGACCATCCACTACACCGCCTCACCATCCAACGGTGATGGATGGCCTCTAGATGGCGGTTGCATATAGGTAGGTCGGTTGCTTTGGCAGGTAAGGCGGTAAGAAGATCAGTTTGGCCCCTCCAAGTGGATGACAGTGGGCCCATGGATCCGTGGGGGCTCAACCTCCATCCTTGGATCAAACTAACATGGATCGAGCGTGGTGATGACTCCTGGAGGTGCACCTTGCATATCACGCGAATCAGTGACATGGCAGGCCATATGGCACTATGGGCCCATGGCCCCCTACCATGTCCCATTGCCTCCTATGCACATCATTTGTCCATTTTTGTGATTTTTCCTGCATACAAACATTTTTTCCAAGTACAAGTGGAACAAGGTGAATTATAAACATAAATTGGCACATGTGATATTGATTTACCTTAGTTTTGGGTGGAATGTTGATGGTCAAAATTGGTGTTAGTGACTATCAACAAGCTCCCCCAAGCTACCCCTTCGAGCAAAGATGCGGGTTTAGCATGTTGGATCAGGAATTGCTTCAATGTAATGCCCTGCAAAAACTCATATACAAACCAATACTATCTCTTGAGTTGAGAAAGTTAGTGTTAGAAATTCACCATCAGTCTTAGTCATATGGGGCTTATAGCTTTCACATTGACATAGGCAGTTGCAAGACAGCATAGCGCGGATAGAAACTTTCTTCCTTACTTTGGTTTAGCCGAGACTTCCTGGAGGTTTTCAAGATTTTGAAAGAAAAACTTGCCTAAGTTCCTCAAATGGTACACTCAATCTCTCAATGGTGTTTGAATCCTCTCCAAGGCCAAAATATCTTAGCCTTTCTCCTATTCTAAAGCTTATGTGGAGCTTATGGGTAGGGAAATAAAAAACAAGGCTCACTTGAATTGAATTTATTGCTAAGTCAAACACTTGGATCACAAGAAGCAACAAGTCATACAAACTGATCAAGATGTGCAAGTGTGTGGTATTTGTGGAAGTGGTACTCCTTTTGAGAACTTCCCCACCTCTAGCTTCTTTTGTGAGAGCATGGCTACCTTATTCTCTTTCTTTTTCTCTCTCTTTTTTTGAACTATAGAGCTTTTGCTCTTCTCTCTCTCTCTCTCTCTCTCTCTCTGTAGCCCATGCCTCTCTTTTTTATGG